TTTCTTCAGTGGTCAAACAATCAAATCTAACCAACTAAATTTGTTTATTTTACTTACATGTTCACTGCTTATGCTGTTGCATTTCTCCCACTGCATAAACTTGTGGCTCTATGTAGATATATGATGCAGGACTATTACTTTCCCATTATTATGAATATTATTTCAATGATCTCAGTATAATCATTTACTGTGGTTGTACAGATTTCTACTACCGTCTTATGGTTTTGAAAGCTGTAGGTATTCAGGTATGATTGTCCAGCAGTTAAAACAGTGTCTGATTGGTCTTCTAAAAGAATCTGTACAGGTGGGTCATGGGGAAGACTGAACCGTGTCATTGCTTTTTCTAAAAACAAACCCAGCAAAAACAAGAAAAGAAAGATAAAATGTATGAATGTATTATGAGATTCATCAGGTAAACCCATAATGTAGTATCATAAACAACAAGAATGATTTTCCGCACCTGGAAGGCAAGGAGTATGTCATCAGTTCATTTTATTTATCTGTTTGTTAGTAGTGCAAGATCCACATACCCATAACAGTTTGAGCTGATTAAATGTTGTTGAAAACCAGGTCAAGATCACACCAAATGTGAAAATCAGTAAATCTTTATATTACGCACAATTTTTTTTATGGATCCTCTCCAAACTTCACAACAATATACTAGACTTGAGGGACATGAGTATCCAGGTTGAATAAGCGTTTAGCCTTGAACTTCATTGTTAGTACCCAGTATATACATATATTTGAAATGCTTGATGTATGTTAGTACAGTTCTCCTAAAAATGAAAATCAAACACTTTGGTGATTTTCTGCCATCCCTCTTGCACTTTTTTGTAACTACAAAAACCATTGGCCATGTCTTACAGTGAGAATAATAATGATAATCTTGCATTTTTAAAGGCACATTCTTAACTCTTTCCCACATAAAGATGGCATTTGTAAACAACAGGTGTCCAAAGATCTATGGTGTCTACTTAAAGTAGACAGTGGTAACCTAGTTTCATTAAGTAAGATGTAAAAAAGCTGAACAAAGTTTTTTCCCACATTACTGTCAATATGAAAGTGACACTGCTTTAGAGGTCCAGTTACTTCTTGAAAAAGAGGTTTCTGGTAGCATTGTTGGTGCTGTTTTGAAAACTTAGTTGAAGGGAGAAAATGAAACCTATCCTCTGCAGTTGTCAGAAGAGTTTACCACTGCTTACATAAAAAAAATAACAAGTGCAAAAAGTTTCTTTGAAAATTTGGTGAAAAAAAAAGAGTCAATGATGAAGTCACAACTTCATCTAACTGACACTCTACTAAAATATCACGTTGTTCTGTTAATGTTATACAGATAAACTCTTTTTGAAATCTTTATTTAATCATTGAGTCCCTTAACATTAAAATCGTGGGAGACCTGCCCAAGAAAGCACGTCATGAAAAGATTTCAGAAATATAATAAACGGCAAATAGACTAAAATAAAGTATAACAAACAAAAACATTTTTTAGAAATAAAAATTGCACTCCACAGAATTCTTCAACTCTTTAACTTTTAAACTCTATCAGGGAGACAAAACCAGTGAGACTGAGTCTTGTAAATGCTACCATAAGCAGCTGTCTGTGCACGATAAGAAATTACATAGATAAACAGTTTGTCCACCTTGTAAATAAAAATATGCTAATGCATTTAGCTAAACGAAGTCAGTGACGTGCACTGGAGGGTGAAGTAGAGTTTTGTTATTATTGTTAAAACTTAAAGAACTGTGATACAGGGACAACATGTAGAGTCTTCACAGCCATTTCTGCCCTGAAGAGGGTGTGTAAAAGCTCTCTTTGCCTTTATACGTATCATTCCTAATTTCTTTTGTAAATATAGAAAAAAAAGAAAAGAAAAAACAACATCTAAATCTAAAGTCCTAACCACTACTCATTGTTGAAAAATATGTCAACAGACAAACAAAGCAACATTGTAAGGCACAAAGCTGCCTTCTGTCCAACACATCGCCTCTGACGATAATGGAACTGCATAATACGGACTGTACGTTTGAAAGAAAGACTTGATGTTTTTTTTCCTGAATCACAATGACCAAGTCATTTAATACATATTCATTCACTTCACTGCATACTTTAAAGCGCTGATAAAAATCCCAATCCCTTTTAACTTTTTAGCATTTGATATCTCATAAATGAAGAAAAAACATTTCCCCTTTCTACCTTTTTCTGTGAAGATCATCCTCGGAGAAGGATCAACGTTCCCCATAGCCAAATTACAAAGATGTAAAAATAACAAATATGTAGCTAATGAGTGCGTCATCTTGGTCGTTACTGTCCAAAACAGTATTTCCGTCCCTAATTACTTGCCCTTCACCTCGATAGAACACATTCTCTGGAAGAAATGCACTCAGGACTTTGGAGAAGTGCATGCCAGCTGGGGTGTAGTTTACAGTCAGAGTCTCTTCGCCCGCCCACGGGCACGAGGAAGAGAGGAGTAAACAAACCAACCCTCTGAACAATCATTTTGTCAGTTGCATAATAAAGTTATCATAGTTGACACAGCTGCTTTATTAATAATTTAGCCCGCCCACAACTGCATTTTATAATGTACAGTGTAACAGTGCTCATGATATTTAGGGCTAATTTTAATTATGAAGAGATTTCTTACCTTTTTTTCGAACACGTAAACAATGGGCAAGCAGTTTGATTATTTCAAATAACTGAAACAACATATGAGTATAGAGGAGTTATTTGAGGAGTTCTCCTTCCTTGGATGTTCCAGCTGTGTGCCACACTGTCTAGACTCTATAACACACACATCCTCTGATATGTCTCCACTGTCCTCTTTACTCCAGAATAATTTCAGAAATTGAGAAACCCTTCAGATGAGACTGATTTCTAGGTCAAATGGGGGACGGTGGAGGAGAAACGAGACAAAAAAGACGCACAAATTGAAGAAACGAGAAAGCACAGGTGTATTCACTATTACGTTTGATCCCATTTTCACTTTTTCTCCTTTAACATTACTCGTTTTTCATTACATTTAACCTGTATGATTGAAGTTAAGCTAAAGCTCACCTCCCCTCCTTTATTTATGCTGTAAAACAGCTTAAAGAAGATTATAATACCAACATCATAGCGAAGGACAGATAAGTAAAAATGTTTAACACGA